ATGGCAACACCAGGACTAACATTTAGAAGATCTGCAATACCTAATTGCGATGGAAATATCAAACTAATCCATCTCTTCGAATTGTTCTTTGATAATGCTTTAATACAAAAACCTGTCACTGGAACAAATAACTACCATTCAAGAAGGTTACAATCTTCTCCTATAAAGCATAGAATGGTATGGGTTGATGTTACGTCAAATGATATCAAAGCATTTATAGCAACTTGTTTAGCCATGGGAATAACAAAACTTCCACGCATCCATGATTACTGGAGACAAAATCTTTGGTTTTTTGCTATTCTATCTTTTAGTAAAGTAATGTCTTGTGATCGATTTAGACAAATTCACCGTTATCTTCATTTTTGCAACGAGACAGCAGCAATACCAAGGGGTAATGAAGGATACAACAAACTCTTCAAGGTACGTATGTTGCTAGATGACCTTTGTCCTAAGTTTAGAAATCTTTATAAACCAAAAAGAGACATTTGCATTGATGAGAGTATAATATCTTTTAAGGAAAAAATCTCTTTCCGACAATTTATTCCAAGCAAACGTACAAGATTTGGAATAAAAGCTTGGGTAATGGCAGAGTCATCTACCGGGTACATATCAGAGTTCTTGATTTACACTGATAAAGATATTGATGGACTAAAGCACCATGATCTTGAAGAAACTGTTGTCCGTCAACTAACCTAACATGTTTTAAAACAAGGATACCATCTGTATTTAGATAACTATTACACTAAAGTTGGTTTGCTTGAGTATCTTTACGAAAATAAGGTTTATGCAACAAGTACTGCACGAGTTGATCGCACCCAATTTCACAAGGAGATTATATCAAAAACAAAAATGAAAAAAAAAACAAAACGCGGGTATAGTGATTGGCGAATGTGTGGTTCAGTTTTGGCGCAGGCCTGGATTGACAGCAAGCCTGTTCATATACTTTCAACAATTCACTATCCAAATTATGATGACAAAATTGCAAACAGTACAATATATGTGAAGCGAAAAGGAAAAAAAGGGCAGTTGGTGGAATAAATGTTCCATGCCCCCCTGCAATTAAAGATTATAATGCCAACATGGGTGGTGTAGATTCAGCAGACCAAATCATGAAGTATTATAATTGTGGAAGAAAATCAAGTAAATGGTATAGGCGAATCATTTACCACCTATTAGAAATATGTGTTCATAATGCATTTGTATTTGAGTCTTGGTTTATTGACCATCGTGCCTGCAGTCATCAAAGTTCTCGTGAGGAACTTATTGAACAATTAATAGAAAATACTAGAACTAAGAATAGTGGAAGACCTAGTAATTCAAATGAACCAATTACACTACGGCATACAAATGTTGGAGTTCATAAACCTTTGGTAAACGATAAGCCAAGAGATTGCAAAAATTGTTTTGAAAATATTCAAAAAACTACTTTAGTTGGTCAGTCCCAGCGCCATTCAAAAGGTATTCATAGATCACGTGTTTTTTGTTCATTTTGCAATGTCCATTTATGCCTTGATTCAGTCTCTAATTGTTGGAATATGTGGCATTCATAGTTTTATTTTTAAAATTATGTATCTATACATTCACTTGTGTTGACAAAATATAATAAATAAAATAGCTCAAAAAACTTGTATTTGCTTTACACATAGGGTGGGTTTATTATTTTCAACTTATCTAAATAAGGAAAGTATCCTATCAAATTAGTTACTTTTTCTTATAGGTATTTTTAATATTTTTATTGAATAACAAAAATAGGCAAAAAAAAAATAAAAAAAAATTTGACATCACCAGAGAAAAATGTTAATTATTTAATTTCTAATTATCTAAATTAGAAAAGTGATCCATCAAATGAAAGCTGAATAAATTTTGCACCACTTTACAAGCCTTTATCTACTTTTAAAACAATATAGCTAGCTAATTGAAAGGCTTAATTAGCAACTATTTAAAATTCGCAAAGCTTCTTTATCAATATGAAATAATGTAGACGTCATAGGTTTAATTTTTTTACTTTCTTATTTTTATTTTTGGATTCTAAATTTTGCCTGCTTTCCAAGAATATATACTTTGTTTAACTTATTTTGTAAAGAAACCCATGTATTTAAGTGTTTACGTGACATAGTATTGCACTTTTTAAATCGCCTAAATAAGTCCTGGCACGAAAGGGTTAATAGAATGTGATTGAACTTGTATGAAATCGAAGCTTTAAGTGAAGTTTTATTTTGATAAACTTTTTATGTTAAATATTTATTTATAAGATATTTATAAATGTTATGCTAGATATTTAATTTTTTAACATTTAAGTTTGGAATTTTCATTGAAGTGTTGCAAGTTTTGATATTTATTACATGAACTTTTATGCAATTCAAAATAGAAGTTTTAGTTAAGAGAAGTTTTTAGTCAAATAGATCCTAAAAAAATAAAAGAGTTAGCAAATAGTTCCACTTAACCAGGGTACAATTAAGCGGATAATATGATAAAGTTCAACTGGAATTAAAAAAAAAAAAACATTCTTGATTTAGCTTTTAAATAGAAGAAATAAATCATTTTTAATTAGAACTTATACCACATAAATTAAAACTGGAGTGAGTCATGCATAAATTATGCATGACATACTTTATTACAAATATAACATATATATCAAATCTTTCTGATATTACTGTTTTATTTTATTAAGTTTTGGCTGTATGCATGTGTAAAAAAACAAAAAGGTTAAGGAAGATGCGGGTCTCAAACCACAGATATTCCGTTTACAAAGTCAACACCTTATTCAAATATGCTAAATGCGCGTATGAAAGTATGAAAACAATCGATATACTTATTTTAAAACTTATTATTCTTTTTTCCATATAAAAAATAAACTTAATTAAAATTAACTAACTAATTGACTTATTACAAAACTAATTATTAAATATTGTATTGTCATCAAGCAAGAGTATGTATACAAAATTTGGAAAAAACCTATCGATTAAGAAGTGACTCAGAAATTGATTGCAAGATTTGATGCTCACAGGCAAACGAGACGACAAGTTAATATAAGCATTGGTAAAAAGTAGGCTTTTTTTTTTTTTAATGAATTAAAAAGACCAAAAAAAAATCTTGAAGATTTTTTTTTGTTAATAGAATCAACTCTCAGTTGATGTAACAGTGCTCCACTCATGTTCTATCTATTGTTAGTCAATGTAGTAGCACTCCTCGCATGTTTTTCTATTTTTCAGTATATGTTTAAAACAATAAAAAAACAAAAATAAAAACATTCTGAATGCTTTCAAAACCACTCCAATTTATCAACTTGGGTTTATGTAGTTTTTAAAATAATAATAGTATAATGGTTTTTACATAAAACCAAGCTTTTACGGGAAGTGCATGCAGTCGGACGCCTTGTTTATCCATGTTTTAAGTAACTTTTTTGAACACATTACCATGACAGTTCGGATATTTTAACTTTTATAGCATTTAAATAATTTGTGGCAAAAAGCTAAACTTATCTACAGAGAAAAAAAAATATTTTAAATACTAATTAAAGGAAACAAAACTGTAACGAAACATCAAATTTTAATTAAATAAACTGTAAATTCTTTTTTTTAAATAAAAATATTTAATAAAATTTTTATACAACTTATGTAATTTTTTTTGTATTTTTAAGGTGGTTATTATTTTTAGCAACAGAATTTGATACAAATAGAGGAAAAAAACATACTTTATAACAACAATTTTATAATTTTAACAATTTTATAATATTTTAACGACAAAGTTTTGATATGCAATTTATTCACAATTTTTATGAAATTAATTTGTTATATACTCAAGAAACTTTGTTAACTTTTTTTCTTACACTTGCTCATTTTCGGGTGTTTTAGTCTTTGCTGTGTTAAACGTTTTTTTCAATATATAATTGTAAAGTCAGAAAATAAATTTTTAAAATTTATTATATATTATGACGAAAGAAATTAAATAAAAGAATACCATGGTTTCTTTTTTAAATGTATTTACAATATTTGATGCTGATCTGTAATTGTTTTCTTTATATTGCCCAATTTTAAACATTAAAACAAATTGCTAAAGATAATGAACATGATGATTGCTCTGTTTGAAAAAATGTATTTAAAAACTTAATTAAAATTTTTTAAATAGACTCCTAAAAACTCATTGAAAAAATTCAGTAATATAACAATGCAGATTTTGGAGCGTCGATAACAAAAGCTCATCAGAAAAAAAACTATCGAGTTTAAATGAAGAATATTTTATATTTGAACATTAGTATTAATGACTTTTTTATATTTTACATTGTTTAAAAATAAAAAATATATATTTTACAAATAAATAGCAATTAGTTTTCTTGCTTTCATTTGCATTGATAAAATTATTAAAATTTACCAAATACTATTAAAAAACAAAATTCAAATTGTCCTTATTTTTAGCGCAAATAATAAAGCATTTTCTTGATATATCAAGGAAATACTTTATTATATGACTGACAAAAGTAGCTTTTTTGAAAAAAAAAATTTTCTATTTTTTTATTGATTTTTTAGTTTTATTTCTTCAAGTTGCTGTTTTATTCTCTGTAGTTTCTTATAGGTTTATTTCGCCGCAAATAAAAATGCGGTCAAATTGTCAAAAAAATATTTTAAATGTGGACAAACAAGGCATAAACTTATATATATATATATATATATATATATATATATATATATATATATATATATATATATATATATATATATATAACCCTCGGAATAATGAAAAATGAGATCGGCAAATTATTGCCGACCTCAACCTTTTATCTGACAAAAGTCTGACCATGTAACATAGGTCAAAGACAAAGGTCTGACCATATAACATAGAAACCAGGTCCGCAATTTTTTGCTGACCTTAAACACTTTCAGATCGGCAATTAGGTCGGCATATGTATATATATATATATATATATATATATATATATATATATATATATGTTTTTATTTAATTATATTTTTTATATATATATATTTAATTAAAACTCTTACATAAAAAATTGTTGGTTCATGGCATTTCTTTTGTCTGGTCTATTGAGTTCAACATGTAGAATATGATTACTTGGACTTGATACTTTTAATGTTTTATATTCATAATTAGCTACACTTGCAAGCATTCTTTTCGCTAAGTTTTGTAACAAAAAAAAATTATTTTAACAACATATTACAAACTTATTTTATGCACATAATTAACTTAAATATAATAAATAAAATAAAACTTACAATAATAAAATTAGATATACTTAAATTACTAAAACTAATTCGAAAAACCTTTTAATAAAAAAAGAAAACAAGTTGATATAGTTAAATAAAGTTTTGTTTTCAGCAAAATTTATAAATTTTTTCTAGATTATCATAATGTAATCGTTCTGAAACTGTTGGCAAAAAAAATTTCTGATGCAAGGTTTGATTTAAAATGAACAAAAAGCAGGGTTGGAAAAAACCCAGGGTTTTTTAAAAAAACCCAACCCAAATCGGTTTTTTTGGGTTTTATGGGTTTTTTTAAAAATCGATCAAAATACCAAATTTTTATAATTGTATGAGTACAATAATTTTTTTTTTAATTTTATAAATTCACCTCCCTATTGCTCCAATGACCATTTCAGTCAAGGGTGCAACTCATTTTTTAAAAATATTTTGTCTCAATCCTTAACATTACCATTTTTACTAACAAACAACATTACCAACTAAAATTTTTAAACAAAGGCGCTGTGTGGAGAAATAGATTAAGACAGTAATTTCAGCAGAGGTAATTTGAACCCCAACCTTCTGGTTGCCAGCCAAATGTTTTACTACTAGTCTACTAGCACATTTTACCTGTAGTGCAAAAACGGACTCCATCAACTATAAATGATGTTAATTAATTGCTCTAAATTAAAAACATGTTCAGAATATTTTTGACAAAAAAAAAATGTAAAAATTATGACAATTGAGTTATTCAAAGTTGGTAAGACAATATAAATGTTGCAAACTAGTTTTTTTTACTAACATGTTCAACATATCATTTCAAAAACTACTTTGCACAAGTTTACAACATGTAAACAACAAGTTTGCAACATGATGTTGCAACATTATAAGTTATTATCAATCAGGATGACTATGAACACTTTTTAAACATTTTTGTATCATAGAAGAAAACTGCTAGCCTAATCACTACATTTTTTTTTTATCAGAACATTATACTGTCCAGCTTCCTGGAAAAGTTATCGGCCTGATCAACTGGACTGGCAAAAAATGGATTTTTGCCTAAACTTTGTTTCTAAATATATATAAAGTAAATTTGTTAAGAACCATTACAGTGTCTTTGCCACCAATTTTTTTTTTCCTTGAAGATGTTTTACTGGCTCATTTTTGCAATGCAAATTGCAAACTGAATCAAAGTAACACATTATATAGCTCTATTGTGTGTGTGTTTCTTCACCTTTTAGCAACTTGATACTGATGTTAATTTTCAACCCGCTGTTCATAGTCACCCCTGTTGGTGGTACATGTTGTAAACTTGTAGCTGATGCAAAATATTCAAAACCTGTCAAAAGACAGATGAGCACGAGTATCATTTTTACCAACAAATCTTGTCCTTGTGAAATGCATACAAGTTTGCAACATGTTCTCTCATTGAATGAGCAAACATGTTGCAAGCTTGCTTGCACATAACTTATTTTTTTTTAAGTTTTAAAGTTGTATGCACTTAATAAGGACAAATCTAGTAAACTGTAGCATTTTTTTTTTGCCTGACAACTTTCCATTTCTAAACTGTAAATAAAGTTTAATAATTTTTATATATAGTATTTTGCTTGTGGCTTTGTATTTTTTTTTTGCAGTTTACAACATAAGCTTTAAAAAATAAAATATCAAATACCAATATAAAGGAATATAGACATTCGAGATGAGAATAAAGATACTAAGTAACTATTGAATAATGTTCTGAAATTTAGTTAATAGAATGATTTTTATTTCCTTTTTAAGTATTTAACTAATTTAATGTTTTAATACATATTTCAATAACATTTATAATGACTTGCTAAATGTTTTAAAAAAATAAAAAATAACCAACTTGCTACAAAAACAGATTGATTGATTTTTGATATATTCTAAAGACCATTATGCATATAAATACAGTGTTTACAAGAGTAATTACAGTATAAATGTTGCACTTGCTGATAATAAAGCATTTATAAGTGTTAAAATCAGAGTTATCAGTTGTAAAATAGGTCATTTTTAAAAAAACCCAAATATATTTTGGGTTTTTTTGGGTTTAATTGGGTTTTTTTAAGGTGGGTTTTTTTGGGTTGGGTTTTTTTGAGTTGGGTTTTTTTTGCCAACCCTGACAAAAAGTGAGCCCACAATTATTTTATTTCCCAGAAGAAAAAAAACAATTTTTTTTAAATCTTTGATGCATTTTTTGAAGAGTAATTTTTGAGTAGTAGCACACTTTGTGTCAATTATCTTTGATGCATATTTTTAAATTTTTAAATTTTTGATGCACACTTTGTGTCAATTATGGATCACTACAAATTAAGAAAAAATTCCATAAGAGGTTTAAAATGTTGGCAATGGTTCCAACAAAAAAAATCACCAAGTGTTTTTTCCATAAAAAATTTACTTATTTATATTATAATAATAACATAAATTAAGAAAAAAATTATTACCTTATGTTATTATTTTATGAAATAAAAACTGTAAAATTGAATTAATTTAATAACTATACTTAAATATTTTGTAATTTTATTTATTTTCTTATTGTTCTATGAGAATCGCCAGAATTTAAAAATATAATTTAATTTTAATACATTTTTGGAAGAAATGCATAGAAAAGTAATTTTTGGGTGTGGTTTTGGCTTTGTGGCTATACAAATTATTATATTCCGAAGCTAGGAATTTTTGAAAAATTCTAAAATAGCTTTAAAATGAGGGAAATAGTACCAGCAAAACATATGAATTCGTAGAAAATTAATTTTTAATGAAAATTTTATATTAAATTTTTAAAAAATATTTAGGCCTGAAAAAATGCATTCTAAATTAAATAAAATATTGACTTTTAAACAAAGCCATTATACCTTTTGAATAAGCCTAAACTATGCAATTAAGATCAATTACAAAATTTACAACAAATTTAAATAAACACTTGTTATGATGCAATAAACACATGAAATGTTGAAAAAAAATATTATAAATATAAGCTATTTAGTGATTACAAAAAAATATATGCAAGTTAAAAATTTTAAATTGTATTTAAATGAATGGATTTTCATTTTGAAGTTTGTATTGTAATTAATGATGTGCTGAGTACCCGGTTCAGACCCGGGGACCCGATAATTTAACTGTTTTCCCAGGTATTCAGAATTGGCCATTTTTTAGCTGCACCGGGTATCTTAAAAGACCCTGCATCTTTTAGCTGCACCGGGTATCTTACAAGAAATTTTTAAATAAAGATTTACATGTTAAATGCTATAACAATATGTTTAAGTGGTACTTTGAATTGTGTCTAACTATTTGTAACAAGATTGCTTTTAATTTTAACTTCAACTAAACTTCTTAATAAGTCTAAGAGTGTTAAGGAGTCGATAACTACAAAGCTCTATTTACTCAATATAGAGGTTTCTCACTTGAAATATTTTTATCATTTCATTCGCACTACAGTCAAGAAGGCCAACTAATTTTTTTTGCAATTCTGTCTCTCTTAATCTTTTATACTCCGTACCTTAACTTTTGAATTAGCACGTTTAAGCAATTATTTAGAAATAAATTACAAAAAAATATAAATTATATTTAATACCACAATTATAAAACAAAAATTAGTTAGGTTATTTTATTAGGTATTTTTTGAAATTAATAGATTTAATTTTAATTTTAAAGTTCTCTTGATGATTTTGGTTAGTTAAGGCTTGTCCATAAAGTACGTATGCTCGGATGTGGAAGAGGAGGTCTGTACAAGGCATATAGTAGATGGGGGGGGGGGGGCAGAGGTCAGTTACAAAAGTATGGGCCCACTAAATTAAAAAAATGTCATAAAATGTTGGGTAGGTAGGTTTAAAGCATAGGTAATTTTAGGGAGATGGAAGGTACTCAAAAAAGCATATATCAAAATGAAGAGGGTGAAGGTAAAATAAAGACAAATGTACTTTAAATTTGTAATATTTAATATTTATTATTTGTAATATTTTTAATATTTTAAATTTGTGTAACATAAGTTAAAACTACAAGCATTTACTTTCATCACCCTATATTTGTCAATTTTTAACCTCTTCCTATCACAAACAATCACATATACCTGAACCCCTCTCCCTCCTAAACTGTGACAGTAGTTTTTCGTCAAAAATATTTCAAAAGACTTAAATGTAAATATTTTGCAGCATTTTAAAAATTCAACCTAATGAAAATAACGCATACGCAAAAATGTAAGGAGAGTAAGTAAAAACTTGGGCAAATCAAAGATTTTCTTTTTTAAATGACTCAAATAAGTATTAAAAAGTAATACTGATAATTTTTTGTAATACTAAAATAATTTTTTAAAGATGGTTTTGTGGAAAAACTTTTTTTCATTTGATAACTTTTATAAATGTTATGAAAAATCATTTAGGAAGAGTTTTTTAAAACTTCCTTCGTTAATTATTTTTAATGAATGACTTCTAATACTTTTGCACTTGTTTTGTTACACAACTCTAACTCAAAATAATAAAGTAAAAAATCCACAATAATAATCGCAAGATATTGTAAGTGATGTAACATAACTTAGATATGTAGTATCAAAAAAAACAGTTTATTTTCCTTACCCAGTCACCTCTGATAAAATTTTATATATTTTTTAAATTGGCATAGAATTCTTAACATCTTGTGAAAGTTTCTAACACAAACCAGTTTACTGATTTGTATTAGAAATCTGACCTAATAATTGAAGCAATATCTTTACCTTGATTTCCGTATAACATAAGTTAAGTGGCATTATCAGTAATAAGTTCTGAAGCTTAAGTTCATAAGTTCATAAGTTCGGACATAAGTTCGCCTTCTTGCAGTCAGACTCAAAACTTTATTAAGCTTATTTTATTCTTTTTAAGCTTATTTTAACTTTTTAAGCTTATTTTATTCTTTAGACTAATAGCTTTCATACAAAATAGCTAAATGTTTAATTTACAGTTTAAATAGGCAAATATTATAAAAAGTTGTTGTGCGTGTAACGTAAGTTAAAAATGGAACTACCCATATACAGATAGATTAATCAGGCTTCATTAGGGAAGCGGGAGCGATCGCTTTTAATTATTGACCAAGAAGATAATATTTAATTGCGTAAAACTAGCCAGATTTTTTAGTTGTTTTGAGAACATTTCAAAAACCAAAAAAAAAATGCGCAAAAGATTAATTGTTCCGATGAGATACAATTTGATGGTGTTTGAGATAGCTAACTTCCAGACATGGAGCAAACTCCAAACATTTGTATGTTTATACTTATGTCAAATAATGATTCTTTGCAATAAATTGCGATGATGGAGGCTGGGTACGAAAAAGCCATTTAACTTCATTACCCACCACCCACCCACCCCAAATGTGAGAGGCACCAAGTTGATGAAATATTTTTTGTACTATTCTCAACTAGACTTATATTCATTGATAAATTTTAAGTTTCAAAGTATTATCTCTCAGGGTTCAAAAATTACTTTACTTTGTCCTAATAAAAATGAGGAAAAACCAATTCTTGAAATCTCCTACTCCTTTTAAATACGAATGAATATTGCTAGATGCATATAAACATGGCTAGATGTATTCAAGGCCAGCATGAAGAGTATGCATGTGAGTAGGATAGGACGGTGACCCCCATTCAATAAATTAGTTGATAAATTGGGATCGTTTTTTTAGATATGTTTATTTGTCAAAATAGAACTT